CTTTAAGTGCTCCCGGTTGGAGGTTGAGAAATATATATATATAATTTCTTTTATATAAGAAATATATAATTTCTTTTTTTTTTCAGCCCGGTACTTCTCTTGCTGCTGTGGGCACAATGTGTGTGCCCTGTGAGGCGGGGGTTGCCATTCCCAGAGATTCCCCTTCTCCCTAAGGAGGTGTTTGGTAGCGAGGATAATGTAAAGATTCCAATTTCTGTGTTAAGTGGAGGAGATTGGGTTCCTACGAATGGGAATGGATTACTGATCATGCAACTCCTGTCTTCTTTCACATGCATTTGTTTGCTTTTTCTCTTTCTGTTGGCCACTAAAGTCTTAGCAGCAGAGTGCCACTTTTTAGCACATGCTCTAGAAAAGGGCAGTTGGTGCCTGGGTCTGATGCTCTGTCACCACATGAGTGCCGGGATGGCCAGCCCTGCTGGCTGGAGGCAGATCTGTCAGGAAGATGAAAGGCCTTTAGTCAGAGGGCAATGCCTGCTTGTGAAGTGAAGCCACTGATTTCTTGGAACTCACATCTCAGGGTGTGGTTTTTACAAGCCTGGTGAGCTCAGTCCTTCCTTCCAGCTCTCAAGCTGAAAGCAGCTGAGAGCAAACCTGCCCGGGAGCAACTGAAACATAGTGAGCTTGAGTTCCTGCTTCCTCCTCCCATTCCTACTCTTCCACCTTGCTTGTGTCTTTGCACTGTTGCCTACTGTTGCCTCCTCCAGCGTTTTCCTTGGCCCCTATGTTCCAAATGCCAGAGTGGCAGAACTGTGGCAACGTAAAAATAGTTTCCTGCAGTTTTGATGTGTTAGAGGCAGTCACTAGCAAAAAGGGAGGGGGAAGCCAGGCAGCAGGGGAGCAGGGAGAGGGGTAGAGTTGCAACGAGTCACCAGGCGGGTTGGACCGCCTGTGGAGCTGCACCCCCAGGGCGTGGCTTGCGATGAAGACCTACTTGCAGAGGGTGAAGGATTTATCTCCCTGGCTTTCCTGTCCCTGGGCAACTCTTCCTCTCCCAGCTGGTTCTGGCATTCATATGGCAAAGTAAGCTGATTCGACTTTTCAGCCTGGCCAGAAAAATTTCTATTTGGAGGGGAGGAGATGTAGTCGTTTGCCATTTTTGCAATCTGAATTGCCTCACTTTGCAATCGGAGAAGCACCTGGGCTGTAGTAGGTGGTGGGAGTACGCAGCCGGGAGGCAGGGGACTTCTGACAGCAGCAGCATGCTTCAGCTCACACTTTGCTGATCCTTGGCATCTCTCAGCATCTGCTTCTGCATTAGAACATAATAGCTGCCTAATCGTATGAAAATAAGTCTTTAAACTTTCAGCGCCTCTTCTTGGTACTGGAAATAAGAAGGGAATATTTTTTTTCTTTTGTCTTCAAGCCTTCTCGGGAGCTTGCAGGGTTTGATACAGTCCTGGTTATTGTCCAAACATTTCAGCTCTACTAGTTAATACTGCCATTGTGCTAAAGCTGTTCTTTACCTAAGAAGAGATCTTGGTGAATAGTTTGTCTGCTACCTAAGGGTTTCCTAATGGTTGCCAAGAGGATTTAGAAGACCACAGTGATATTCGTTCGTCTGTTTCTTGGAGAGGCAGCTAGCTGCAGGAGGTGCTCGTGCTGTCTGCAGGCTATTCCTGAGTAATCCCATTCAGTTTATGCTTGGTACGTTTTCTTTCAGTCAAAGGAGAAGTAAAAGTAGCATTTGTAATTTGAAAGGAAGGTTATGTTCTGCAGACAGGGATGCTGACTTAGGGAAGATTCCTTAGCTCATTGTGTTCCCTTTCTGTTGCTCTGCTGCTTTCTGCTGTTGGCTTTTTCTTTATTACTGGATTATCACATCCCACCTTGCAAGTGCACATCTGCTTATTTTATGTTTTCACATGTCTCCGTCCACTTTTGTTGCAGTAGTGCTTTTCAACAGCTCTGAACCTCAGTATATTCAAGCTCTAAGACATATTGCAACCTGTTTTCCTTTTTACTACAAAAAAAAAAAAAAGCCTCAAAAAAATTCTGTCAGATGCCTTGGAATCTTGCAGTAATTATCTATAAAAATGGTGAATTATCTTTCTCATTGAAGTGTTTTTTAAACTGTTTATGTCAGAGCATTGGGTTACCTCAGGAAATACTTTGTGGTACTTAGCTGAAATGTCTTTTGGATAGAAATATATCATTTTCATAATTTTAGTTGCTTGGTAGTCATGTTATGGAGAAAAAGCAGAAACTAAGTAGCCTTGCTACAGTAGAAGTGGGAAGGTGTAGTAGTAGTAGTGAACACTAATCACATTTGTTACAGTAGTGCATCTCTCCCCTTGAAGTTTTTAAAAACCCAAATCAGTTCCCTTAGTGGATTAAAAGTGCGGCTCAGTGAGATGTTGAGGAGGGACAGTGCACTAAGAGGAGTGTCGCCAGCAGGGCGAGGGAGGTTCTCCTCCCCCTCTACTCTGCCCTGGTAGACCCCACCTGGAGCACTGCATCCAGTTCTGGGCTCACCAGTTCAAGAAGGATGAGGAACTCCTGGAGAAAGTCCAGAGGATGGCTAAAAAGTTGATGGGGGACTGGAGCATCTCTCCTACGAGGAAAGGCTGAGGGAGCTGGGCTTGTTTAGCCTGGAGAAGAGAAGGCTGAGAGGGGATCTCATCAACACGTACAAATATCTTAAGGGTGGATGTCATGAGGATGGAGCCAGACTCTTCTCAGTGGTGCCCAGCAGCAGGACAAGGGGCAATGGGCACAAACTGAAGCAGAAGAGGTTCCACTTGAATGTGAGGAAGAACTTCTTTGCTTTGAGGGTGACCGGGCCCTGGCACAGGCTGCCCAGGGGGGCTGTGAGTCTCCTTCTCTGGAGATCTTCAAACCCTGCCTGGCCGATGCCCTGTGCCCCCTGCTCTGGGTGAGCCTGCTTGAGCAGGGAGGTTGGACTGGGTGATCTCCGGAGGGCCCTTCCAACCCCTGCCATGCTGGGATTCTGTGACAGCCTGCGGAGGCGGTACACTGCACCTGAGGGACAAAGAGATTGTACAGGTACAGGGAACGGGGAACAGGAACTCCATGTGGTTTTGCTTCTTTTCTTCCTAATCTTTGGACAGATCTGCTAGTCCCATAGCTGTCCTTACACTGGGCACCACTAAGGAGAGTTTGACTGCCCACCCCATCAGGTGTTTATACAAATTGATGAGATTTCCCTGGAGTCTTCCTTTCTCAAAGCTAAACCTCTCCTCATATGTTGGGTGCTTCAGTCTCTTAATCATCTTCGTGGCCAATTGAAAATTAAGCTATTTTTGTTAGAAAAAAGCATATCCATTCTAATAACATATACATTATTTCTAGTATCAAGGTAGAACATGTGTGAAGGAGACAAATATTGTACTAACTTAAATATTGCAGAAACTGAAAGGTGCAAAGAAAACCCTGCCTCTTTTCCATATTACCTGACATTTTCATTACAGAAAATAATTATCTTCACTGAAATTTATTGGGACAATATACATTCTTGAAATACTAAAACTCTTATCTGTGCCTGAGTAAAGCACGACAAAGACGCACAGAAGCTCAGAGTTGGATGAGGGTTTTTTAGAGATCACTCCGTCAATTAAAAATGCTTCTTACGCCTTTGAATTTATCATATAGATATAAAAAAATGTGGTGTAGTTTTATGATGTAGACAGCCCACCCTTTGATATGTTTCTGCCATCAAACTTGCATCGCATGCTTGTACTGGAAGGCAAAATTCTTTTAAAAATGAAAATTTATACTTCTGTCAAGTGCAAGTTGGGAGTTTAATCTGAGGATTGTTGTGTAAATTAATTAAACTTGTGGAAGCGGGAGGACAGTTAAACCGTTTCTGAGTATTAGGGTCCTTTTCTTCATTGCTACTCTCTCTGTTCCAGAGCTGCCAGGCTGGAGTAACTCAATGGATAGCAGCATGCAGTGGATTATTACAGACAACCGCAGCCCAAGGCCAGTGTAGACGGATGCTCTACAGTATTTTCCAGGTAGGATATCAGAGTATGTTAATGTGTGTAAAAAACAAAACAAACCAAATGCCCCTCCCCCCCCCCCCAAAACACAGTAAGAAAAAGTAATGATTTTTACATAAAGAGGCTTCCAAAAGTGATGTCTTCGCTGTCTGTGTATTGCTGAAATATCAAGGCAACTTAAAAGCTTTCTGCCGCTAAAAGTGTGAGCTCCTGCTCTTTATTACACAAGTGTCTTCATTCCAGCTATGTGGTCTTGTAATGGATCCAGATGATCTGTCATGAGCAGATTAAATGCAGAAATCCAAATGTAGGTGTCATTTTTCCAAAGCAGCTCTTTCATGCTAGTCATGAGTGCATGTGATTTCCAGCACTTTATTTTATACGATGTCTCCGCTATACAGTAGTCGTGGACTTTCTAGTACTGACGGTATGTTTACCTAGCACAGCACAACATTAAGTAGTGGTGTTGCAGTGGAAAGCATGCATAGTGTCAGATTGTGTCTATCCATAGTAAATTAACTAGAACATCATGTAATAGCGGTTTATAATAAAGAGGTGAAAAATGTGTAGGAGATGGGAATAGATGCAGGCTATCTGAACAGAATTAGAGTATATCTCTTGTGTTTCCTTCTTGTATGTGATGAAACAAAAGGACATTAAGCCTCTTCTTTGTCCTCCTGTGTATTACAACTTCCGTCACAGAGCCATTTCTCAGACAAGACCTTCCAGTCCTGGGAAAATTGCCCATGCTTTTTGTGACACAACCATACTATTAAAGCACCGGTCCATACCAAGTAGCATACGATATTGGGAGTAGAGAGGGAAATGAGCAGTTGTGAGGTTGATTGATAAAGTTGGGCTTAATTCTGAGCCACCAGCAGATTCAGTAGACACCTGGGAATGACTGCTCTGAACAAACCAGCATATTTACTTTGTCTGAATTTATTCATAAACAAGTTACTGCTAACCTGGTAGTGCTGGGAGGCTATGATAGGTGTTCTATCCAGTGTGCAGCTTCTTACCTGGAGCTCCCACTCCCTCCTACCTGATAGTTTTCTTTACTGTGCTCTATAATATGAATCATATGTTGTGATGTTGTAGTGATAGCATTTACCCTGTAATTTATTTTGTTCAAGTCCTGGCCACAAAGACAATGGAATGGACTGTGAAGTTATAGATAAAAGTAGCACAAACTCTGTTTCTCTGCAAGGCCAGGAAAAAGAATTATTCTTTATTAAGAGACAAACCCCATAATTAGTAGTGTGGGAGAAAATCAAAGCAGATAGCCTGTGGTTTTTTTGAGAGTGGAGTGTTCTGCCAGTCCATTCCATCAGTACATTTACAGAACACTAGAAAATGTGTGGTATGGAGCATTAAGCACGGGCAATGGTTTTGTTTGTAACAGTTATGATAATAAATTTGTGCTTTTGGGGATACAAAGTTTTTCAGGATTAGACTGAATTGTAATTGACTTGAAAGCAAACTAAGGGTAACTGGTGTAAAGTTAAGTGTTTACTTGTCAATGGTCTCTTCATTTATTTCTTTTTTCTTTTATCAATGTTACTAGAGACGCAAGGCTGGCCAGTTCCGACTATCTAAATCCTGTGGTGGATTGATTCAAGCCAATGGAGCCATTACACAGCGAAACAGATCATTTTACAATACAAATAAGGTTAGAAGAGTTTGATGTTTTTATTGTCGGAGGGCACATTGTGCAAGCGATTATACAGATACAGGTAACAAAACACTTTTCAAAACATGTAGGAGATGATTCAACTTCTATATAAAATGTTTTCATGTAGCATGAACAATGGGTCCAGTAATTTGGGAAGTGCTGTCTGTTCCTCTGCAGTTATAGTTGGGTTATCTGGGCTGAATTTTCCAATGATAAGCCTGAGGGCTTCTTTCCAATGAGGAAAGTTAAGGAGAGTAGTTATTGGGGTGGGGGGTGGATGCTCCTTTCTTGCCTTTACAAAGGGAAACACAGAAGTTGCCCAGGCATATTAGAAGCGACAAGATGTTTCCTTGTTCTTTAGCTTGGGAAGAACAGTTTTGCTATCTGCTAAACACTGAATTGTCACGCAATCTACTAATAACGACTAATTATTGTGTAATCATTTATTTACTGTTCATCTGTACTATTTTGTTAATTTGTGGCCTCTGCATCTCTTACATTTATTGTCTTTTGTCTTGGAATGGAAGTTTTCTGGAGGATGAATTGTCTCCATAAGATTAGTTTAGCACTTAATCTGAGGGAGTCAGCGTCTCTCAACTATATCCCGATCCTGCTTTTGTTAACGCAGCATGAAGAAAATGGCAAAATGGAATGTGTGCACAAGAAGTGAGAGGGCAGAAGGACAAAGGAAGTTAGAGATTGATGGGTAAAACTTGCATAAAAGCAACAATCCCAGTTTGCTGTCTGCCTAATTGTGTATTTTGCTGGTGTAGAGTTAGAGGTAAACACTAACAAGTATTTTAAATTGGTTATCTTGATGCGGATGGACAAGATGAAGGAAAACAAGGAGATGTGTGGAAGGAAAGGACCCCTGTCTACTGTTTGCATCTAGTTCTTAACTAGAGGTTTTCCTTTTTTTTTGTCAATTTTTCAGTGTTTTTCACCTGGTGAGGTGAGCGAAACATTTTGCAGACAAAGTGATTGAAGCATACAAAATGACTTGCACAATTTACAGTGGCCAGAGCAAAGAACAGAATCCAGGCTCTCAAACATGGGGCATACCCCTAGTCCCTCTGCCTGCCCGTGCCGCCCCTCTCACACCTTCACAGGGCATCATTTGCAGAGCAGATAGGTGGTAGATCTAACAAGCCAGGTGTGGCATGAAGATCTTCAAGGCGGGGGCCAGAGACTTGCTTTTGTTGTATTGGGAAGGGCTAGGGGAGGGTACAAAGGTTGAAAGGTGAATTGGGAAACTTCTTGGGTGAAATAGCTCTGGTGTAAGAAGACAGGCAGGATTTATGACCAGAGAGGAAACAGTTTACAACTGTGTAGGTAAGGTTTGAGGTAGGTTTTTGGATCACAGTCTCATTATTTTGAATAGAGAAATACTTACTCATCTTTGAAATGTGAACTTGACTATGCACTCCTGCTGAGAAAGTGGTTTAGAATTAATGGTGAGGTCCAATTGTTTCATTTCTATATTTGGTGTCAAAATTAAGAGGATTGTTTGCTTTCAGCACTGAATTTTGCGTATTGAGCAGGAAAATCAGCCCAAGGTGGGCTTATGTCCCTTTCAGTGTCTTGATGAGCTTCTTTTGAGTCAGTTATAAAACATATTTTTGAAGTTTTCTCTATATGTTTTCTGGATCTGATTATATGTATGCTTATAGGACTGTTTAATTGCACTTGGCTGCAGTCCTAGCATTGGCAGGGTGAACTGCATACCTCTATCCATCAGTTGAACCAAACACTCACTGCTTAAATCCCCTCTCCATCTCCTGAGCAAGTCCAGACAGACTTGCAGAAAGGTGAAGCAAGTAGAAAAAGATGTTTTCCAGTCAATCTTTTTTTTTTTTCTTTTTTTTTTTTTTTTTTTTTTTTTTTTTTTTTTTTTTTTTTTTTTTTGGTGTTGAGCTAACAGTTGAATTGACAAGATTTTGGTTTTTAACTTAAATTCCTCTGCATATTGAAAAATCCATGCTCAGGGAGGCTTCATAATGCATTTGTAGATAAGAGGCATGTAGCAAAATTGATCTGCCTAGATTGACCTGGGGTTTAGTATGATTTTAATTCCTGTGGAAGAGATGAAAGTTGATTTAGTGAGTGTGGTACGGCAGTAGTTATTGGGACAAAAGTTCTGCATTGAGCATATCCTGTCATTGCCTGGCTGGAGGGGGGCTTACGGATTTACCTTACGATGTAATGTTAGGTGTCATTTTTAGGGTAGATAAGAGTATTGCGTGGGATAATCTGGAAGAGAAACTACTAAAAATTGGTTTAAATACTCATGTACGTGTTGGTAGACTCACTGGGTCCATCGCATGTGGCAGAGGGTGGGGAAGTGCCTTTGCAGATGCTTTTGTTCTGGATGATAATAGGGGACTTGGTGAACAGGTTTAATGGCCAACATTCAAAGGAAGGATCTGAGCATTAAAGGAGGTCCTGGTCAGTGTTATGCTGTCTTACTACATGACCCTGAGCATGTTTCTTCCTATTATTACGGGGTTCAATACATTAGTAGCCGCCTATGGGTAGTACATGAGTGCAAAGCATTTTATCTCAAACGCTGAAGCTTATGTGTGGATGTACACAGGGATAGATTATGTCTCAAAGCTACAATTTTTGTCACTTTTACAGTTTCTAATTGAGTGCAGGACACGTGTTTGTATTTTAATATGTACTTATTTATCATTCATGCTGTTTCAAAAATTATTATACTAGCACTAGGAAAGCTATAGAGAATACAGCCAGAACGATCAGAAATGTGAAAAGCCTTCAGTATGAGAAGAGGCTAGTCTAGGACCCTTCTAAACTAAGGAGAGACAACTGATGGGCATATGTGTGACACTGACCTTATAAAAGGCATAAAAGGTACTGAAAAGGGGAATAGGAAATGGTTGGTTGCAGTTCTTCTAGGAAAATTGGGAGTGCCCAATGAAATGGCAAGGTTGGATTTAAAACAGGCACAAGGGAGGTTTTTTTAACATAACTAAAATGTGAAACGTGCCACAAACTCTTCTGTGTTATGGAGGTGTCGTGGTTTAACCGCAGCCGGCAACCAAGCCCCCCCAGCTGCTCGCTTGCTCCCTCCTGGTGGAATGGGGGAGAGAATTGCAAGGGTAAAAGTGAGAAAGCTCCCGGGCTGAGATAAAGAGAGTTTAATAGGGAGAGCAAAAGCCATGCATGTAAGCAAAGCAACACAAGGAATTCATTCCCTGCTTCCCACAGGCAGGTGGGTGCTCAGCCATCCCCAGGACACCCGGGCTCCATCATGCGTAACAGTGACTTGGGAAGACAAACGCCATCACTCCCAACGTTCCTCCCTTCCTCCTCCTTCCCCCAGTTCTATGTGCTGAGAATGACATCATGTGGTGTGGGATACCCCTGGGGTCAGTTGGGGTCAACTGTCCAGGCTGTGTCCCCCCCAAGCTCCTTGTGCCCCTGGCAGAGCAGGGGAAGCTGAAAAGTCCTTGCCTGGTGTAAGCCCTGCTCAGCAACAACAAAACTATCGGTGAGTTACCAACATTCTTCTCATCCTAAATCCAAAACACAGCTGTGCCAGATGCTGGGAGGAAAATTAACTCTGTCCCAGCCGAAACCAGGACAGAGGTTAAATAGTTTTGAACACTGAGGTGCTGAAGGTGCATCCAATTGTAGCAGCCAAAAATCATAGAATCACAGAATCATTTCGTTGGAAAAGCCCTTTAAGCTCACCAAGCCGAACTATTACCCTAACCCTGCCATCCTACCACTAAACCCTGGCCCTAAGCACCTCGTTGCCTCGCTTTTAAATACCCCCAGGGATGGGGACTTGACCCCTGCCCTGGGCAGCCCCTTCCAGTGCCTGACAGCCCTTTTGGGGAAGGAATTTTTCCCAATGTCCAACCTAACCCTGCCCTGGCACAACTTGAGGCCGTTTCCCCTCGTCCCATCACCTTTTCCCTGGGAGCAGAGCCTGACCCTCCCACCTCACTACAACCTCCTTTCAGGTAGTTGTAGAGGATGATAAGATCTCCTCTCAAATGAATGTGTGGATGCATTTTTCTAGTGCAGGAATGACTGTCAAAAGCCAGGCAGGTATGCCCCAGAAAGCCACGTCACGCATGCTGTATTTCTCTGCTTTTGTGTCTTGTCCAGGCATCCGCTACTGGTCCTTGTTGGAGAGGGCGTCCTGGTCTGCGTTTGTTCCAGCCATGTATGGCAGTCCTTATGTTGCTAAATTGCTTTCCTACAAAGAAAATTCTTTTCTTAGTATGTACATGTCTTAGGAGGAAGTGTTTAGGGTAAAATTCCAGCAACTTAAAGCAATTTAACATTTCTTTGGTCAGGGAACTTTTTCAGGTTATAATGGCTCTCAGCTGTATTACTCAAGTGTATGTAAGAGGTTCACGTGTGTTAGATTTTGGTTAGAGGTGTTAAAAGTAGAGTAATTTGTTGATAACAATGTTTATACTGCATAATTAATTAGAAGTTATTTGCTGGAGTACAAATGATAATTACTGATGGCTGATTGCTGCTGCCAGGATGCTTAGAGGCAGAATGCCATGAAGATTTCCTATCAGTCCAGTGGTGTTTAAGGTGTGTAGTTAATCTGGAAGAGAATGTTTATCTTAATGTTTGCAGGCACTGCAAACCATTGGGGACTAAAAACTTCCCTGACCTAGATTTTCTGCAGGTACCATTTAGATTAACTGTAAGGGGAGTAACAACCTGAGGGAGCTTTTCAGTGGGAACAGTGGGTTCATGTAGTTTCATTAGTTTTCAGATGGAGCTGATTGGTTTGTATAATATATAATTACCCTAGAATGTGATATACCTGTGAGAGTAAGAGAGGGAACGTGAAAGATTAGCTTTGTCTGCTCGGTTTCTCTTGATTTGATTGCTTGTTTTAGTTGCAAAAAATTTAAGCCCAAGTGAAGACATGCATCTAGAAAGAACATGGGAATCTAGGGTGGGAGCCACGTTTTGGAAAGCAGGTTTCTGTACAAACTGTTTGAGTCTGAGCTTCCAGCAGGATGCTTTTATCAAAACACTTATGCAATGTTTGTGTTCATAAACAAAAGAATGTCACGAAGGAAAAACACTAATGTTCTGCAGAGAAGACCTAAGTATGTATTTGTTTTGGTGAACAAAGAAAGTAAACAAACCCCCTTGCAATTCTCTGTTAAACTTGTAGTTTTTCTAACTAAAATGACTTGTCAGATTTAATTGCTAAGACTGAAATATGTGATATTTCAATTTTACAGCACCTTTCTGCAAAAGATTCCATGCATCCATCTGAAGAGAAAGTGGGTGCTTTCACAAGGCTAATAGAAGCAATGGGTTTCACAGGACCACTGAAGTATAGCAGATGGGTAAAGCATTCATTTATGTAATCTTTTGTTTTGTTTTGTTTTTAGTATTTTCAGAGTTCTAAAAATCATGTTTTTCTTATGATAGGAGCAGTGCTTAATGGAAAAGTTCTAATTATTACCCATGTAAATTCTGGTTTGTGATGTGAGGAATAATAATCCATAGCTTGAACCTCCCTTGATCTACTCATTGCCATCATTGCCATAAGTAGGAATGTTGTATTTGGTTTGTAGATTCTTAAGCCTTCTTGAATTTCTTCAGATACCATATTTTTTCCACTTCATTTGTGCACCAAAGAATGCAGTAACAGCCTTAGTATCCAAGTCAAACACCCACACAGGCCATCATCTTCTCTCTAATAATGACCAACTGCAGTTATCTAGAAATAATTTAACTTCAGGACACGCATATTATGATACTTCTCTCATGTGCTCCTCTAGCCTACAACAACTCTCTGTTTCAGGACTTCCTGCATGAAGCCAGGCGTTTTTCTGTAATATCTGTTGATGGATTCTTCTTTTATGACTTTGTCCAGTTGCACTTCAAACTCTTCTAAGTTTATAGCATCCGTAGTATTCAATATCAGGGAGCTCTGTAGCTTGAGTACCCACTGGGAGAAGTAGTACTGTTGTTTTCAGCTGGTGCCTTTTAATTTTGTTTTTGAACAAAAAAATGTTGATTATTGTTTCCCTGGAGTGTATGTTCAAATTCTCCCTTCCACTGATGATTTTATAGACTCACATATTCCATAATATCTTAGTCTTTCTTCGGGCTGAGGAGACTTAGTTTAAATTGTTTCTGTTCTTGAGGCTCTTTCATGTTTTGATTTTTGTTGTCCTTTTCTGAACCTGTTCAGTGTTCTGTGTTTCTGTGACAGGAGGGTCTCCCAACGGACAGTAGAGGGATATGGTATGATCACTGTTGGAGTTGCTGTTCTGTAGTAGCTGACTAGGGTAGAGCCATGAATAGGTCATCCTCCTCTTTTGTGTTTTTTAAATAGTCCTTTCATAAAGCAGTTGTTAACATTGACTGAATGAGAGCAGTTCTGTAAGAGACACCTTCAGTCCCTTATGCAGAAGGGAAAAGACAGCTGAAATTAGTAACTTCTTCGCTCTGAATTAGGACACGATATACAGGAGTGAGAGGAAAAGGCAGCTTGAAGGAAGAGATGAGCCTGGCTGTGCAGGAATTAAAACCTATAAGGGCCTTTGAATACCTGCAAGGTGGAGTGGACCTCCCCAGAAACTGATCTGAAACTGTTGCTGATTGCATCTTGCTCCTCAGAAAGAAAAGATAAAGAAAAGATAACTGAGACTAAGGGGGCTAGGTATTTGGGTTAAAAATCAGTTGCTTTTAATCAGGTGATGCTAAACCTCATGAGAGAGTAGTTTCTCTCCCATGTGCTTGTGTACATATTGTTGTAATAAAGATTCTTGTGAGCTCTAAGTGTTGATTCAGAGTTCTCATTAATTGCTACCCTTTACTGCCTGCTTTTGGCTAGCGAACTTGGGTTTGGAGAGAGTTATTTTGTGGTTAGGGCCCAAGAGACCCGAGTTCATTTTTGGCCTTGCCAGTGCTCCCTGAGGTCTTAGGGAACTTTTTGTATTTCTCTGCTTTTTTCCATTTTCTTCTCCCTTCCCCCACACCTCTTCTACACCCTAAAACTTCCACGATTAAATTTCACTGGTCTCTCCTGTGTTACCTGCCTTATTTAAGGGATGCATTGCAGGGACTGTTCTCTACAATGTTTTTAATGTCTAGTAATGCCTAGGCTGGGGCAATGGCTTTCATCGGGGAGATCTCTATTCCCAGACCAGGCAGTGTTTCCTAAAAAGGAAATCTTCTGAACTCCAGAAAGTGGTGTAAATTATTTTACTGCAAGAAGTTTAGATGTATATTTGATTTTTGACTGAAGCCTGAGGTTATTGAATAAGAGAAATAACGGCTCCTGTGTTTCCACAGCAGGACATCCATGGCAACTTCATTATTTTTCTTTTGGTTGAAGGAGACAGAAATCATTACTTTGGTAATTTGTCATGCCATTCGACAGGCATAGTGCTCATCTCTGTAGTATATAGTGAGCACTGAGATTCTCCTTAGCATATGTCACTAAAAGTAAAAAAAAAAAAAAAAAAAAAAAAAAAAAAAAAAAATCAAACCAAAACGACCCAAACCTAATGCTGCTTCCTGGCTTAGGTAGAGGAGTGGGCTCTGGAGTTTTCAGATTTTTTTTTTTTTTTTTTTTTTTTTTTATTTTTCTACCCTTGATGTTAATAAACAGGAGTGGCTGGCAGCTCCTTAAGATCTTTGCTGTCAGTTACTGTGCTCCTTGAAGCTTCAGCACATGTATCTTTGTTGCAGAGGATACACTGAAGGTGTTCCTGGTGCAAAGGCAGGCCAAGAACAAAACTGGAAGTGCCAAAGCACCTGCGTATACCTCATGTCATTCTTCATTTGGGAAGCTCAGTTGGTCAATTTTCATTTCTGTAGGAAAGAAGATATTTTTAGGACATGCCTGGTATGTCACTTCTTTAATATTTAAAACTTAAATTATACAAAACACTTTGAGTGGTACACATCAATTAAAGTTATTGGAGGAAACCAGGAATTGTGAATTGGGATCTGTGGAGTCTCTGTAAGGAAAGCCATTTCATTTATTTTTCTATAATGACAGAATTTACTATATTAGACTAGATTTGGAAGGGTATTCAAGAAGCCATTTAGTCTTTTTTTTTTTGCCACAAGGCAAGATTGATAATACTTTTGTCATCCCTGGGAGATACAATAGTGTAATGTGCTCCTGAAAATCTCAAGTGATTGTGATTCTCAAGAGAAGTCTTTTCAGAAAATGATAGTGTACATAGTTAACAAAACTAGTAGTGTTCACTAGCTCCCATGATGAATGCTTTTAAGTATTATCTTTTCTTTTTCTTTAGAAAATTAAGGTAGCAGCTTTGCGCATGTATACGTGCTGTGTGGAGAAAACTGACTACGAGGAATTTTTTAACAGTAAGTAATGGACTTGATATTTCAACTGCTGCCCTGGTGAGAATTCATTAGATATATTTATACCAATAAGTATGACAGCTAAAAGACTTGTCAAACCCTAACAGTGCATAGTCACCTAGAAGCTGACTCTACTACAGCATTCCGTTAAGCTCTGAAGAGGCAAGGGTTCAAGGGCAGACTCTGGAGTCTGGGATTGTTGTATTTTGCCCGCTGCAATGGAGAACAAGAACAAGGGTGGGATAGGTAAAACCCAGGATATGCTGGACTTTGAAGGATATTGCCTTTTTTATTACCAGGGGTGGGATAAACTAAGAATACAGATATCTCTTCCCTTTTTACTGTGGTCAGGTGGTCTGTGCGCTACCCTCTCCCATGACTAGTTATGAGAAGATCCAGTGTAACTGGGATACAGGTATGAGAACTGTCCCTATCCACAGATCACAGGGGCCTACCTGTCTCTCTTCCTCATGGCAGGGGCAGGTTTGGCTAGAACTTTCTACGTTTTACTGACCGTGACAGCATTAAACCAGGACATGTGTCTTGATTGGGTAGAGTATGACTAGAACAGAGACAGAAGTCCCTCTCTTACATATATAGGAATAATATTGGCTTGAATTGGGATGGCTTTTCCATGTTGCACATGGGGTTTTTAGCTTTAGCTAAAAATTGCTGCTTTTATTAGTATCAAATCTGGCTGATGAATGGGGAAGATACGCTTTTGAGATGTAGGTAAGCTTCAATAATAGTTTATTCTTATGGAATTATTTCCTATGCCAGTGTGATCTGGCTGGTAGTAAACCCATTGCCTTGTTCTGGCCTGTCACCTGAACTCCTGAGCTACCAAATGCTTTCTTACGGCTTTACAATGCACCAGCCTAGGCTGGGTCTGCTGCTGCTGCCTCTTGAGAGATCAGCTGAAGGGACATCTTTGTGTGTTCATCCAGTGCAGAACTTACTGAGGGTGGTTTGATACATGGTGTTGCTGCTGCAAGATTTTCCAATGGTTTTCAGAAGGTTTTCCAAAACTGTGATGTGGTTTCAGCGGTTGCAGGAGTGAGAGAACTCTGTGAGCAGTAGGATTCATCATTAGTGATGAAAAAATTAGAACCTCATTTTTCCTATGCACACGCCCCTCCCCAGCTGTGTGCCCTCTCAGGCTTTCTTCTGTTTGTTGTATTTGCCTCTGAAACAGTGGCTTTGCTATTTTTAACTGGTGTTTCACTATCTCTGCTTAACATGTTAGTTGTGCAAAGATATATAAATGTTGCCCTGGATGAAAATTTAAAGGAATTTCAAAACATGTCTGTGAAAAAGATACTGGCCCTGATTTGCAGGCTCAATACTGAGGAAAATGTCTTCAGTTGTATTCTCGATATTGTCTCACTGTTTTAAAGAGAAAATTCCCAGAGCTCCCCCACACTTTAAAGATACCACAAACGGCAGGTAGCCTTTCCTTCAAGTTTCACTGTTTTCTCCAGAATGCCCTCGTTGCTCCTTTTGTCTTTTTGCTCTGTAGTACAAGTTGTAGCCAGTCCATCTCTGAATTTACACCCAGGGAAACCTGTGTTTGCATTGACTTGAGACTGTTGTTATGTAAGGAACAAGATAGTTTGCTTTGCCGAGATTGACAGAGTGCGTGATGCACCTGTTGGTGTTACAAGAATGCCTGTGGTGTTGGGGTCTGTGGTTGCGGTTCCAAAGAAATCATTGCTTTCATATGAAAACAGATATAAGAAGTTTCTGTTACGTCTGTCTACTTACAGCTGCTTGGGGGATTAGCTCTAAAATTTAATGGGCATGTGACCCATGTTTAGAAAGTAGTTCCCCTAAAACACATACTGTGTGGGGTGTGCAGGAACCTTTTTAAATTGATTTTGCCAATGAAGAAGCTTTAGGCTGTGGTTCCATGGGCAGCTGAGTCAAAGTAGTGGCCAAAAGGAAAAGGCTCATTTCTCCATCTCCCACTGCCTGTGTTCTGGACTGGACAATTGTCGTGTCCTCTGGTGAACTGGTTAGGTCACTGAAAGAAAACTGACTTACTGTTATGCTGTCTTAGTGAATTCAAGTGGCACATGGAAGAGTCTGATGGGCAGCAGCTGTGCCATAAAGTAGGGGGTGAGAACATGATTAAGAGAGGGGAATGTGGCATGAAGCAAGATATCCAACTTTCAGTTCAATTCACCGTGTCGTCATCAAACAAGGTTGGTCAGGAGCTGTTTTTTTTCCTTTGTTCTGAATTGCTCCTTTTTCAAATAAAGACAGGCATTGCTTAACCCAGGACTGCAGCTTGCTTCCAAAAGTTTTGATGCAGCAAGCACAGGTCTGCCTGAGACCATGCTGATGTGGGTGCTGCACCCCCACATGATGAACTACACTGCTTAGGAACCTTAAGAGTAGTCATGGTGCTGCACAGGACCCAGCTCAGGCCTGCCTGAGCCAAGGCTGACTGTATGTAGCCCTAGTGGTGTATTTATGCCTTGCTTCCCCCAGCACTTCTGGCTCCAGCTGCATGGTGTTGAAATACCCAAGCAAACTGCATAGAGTCAGCTTTTGTCTCTAGAGAGCTTATTAGCTTTTTCTCTGGCGTTTGTGAGAGTTGTTAACCTACTGAGCTGGCCTTAGAAACGGTATGTCCATGCATGTGTAAAACCATTTGTGGGCTCATTAACCCTGTGTGATCAGAACCAGTTCTTCATAGAGCTTTCTTCAGTGTTTCTAGATGTGGTTTTGTGATGTGATTATGTTGTGGCATGAATAACAACTGCAGTGTGACCTTATGGAACTTAAAGAATCATTAAGGTTGGAACAGACCTCCAAGATCATCAAGTCCAACCATCAACCCAGCACCACCATGCCTACTAAACCATGTCCTGAAGTGCCATGTCTACACGTTTTTTGAACACGTGGGGGATGTTTTTTGAACAGCCCAGGGATGGTGACTCCGCCACCTCCCTGGGCAGCCCGTTCCAATGCTTGACCACTCTTTCAGTAAAGAAATTTTTCCTAATATCCAATCCAAACCTCCCCTGGTGCCACTTGAGGCCATTTCCTATCGCTAATTCCTTGGGAGAAGAGACCAACACCCACCTCACTACAGCCTCATCTCAGGTAGCTGTAGGGAGCAACAAGGTCTCCCCTCAGCCTCCTCTTCTCCAGCCTGAACACCCCCAGTGCCCTCAGCTGCTCCCCAGCAGCCTTGGGTTCCAGACCCCTCACCAGCTTCGATGCCCTTCTCTGGACATGCTCCAGCCCCTCCATGTCCTTCTGGGAGTGAGGGGCCCAAAACAGACCCCAGCATTTGAGGGGCGACCAACTTGGATTGGTGTATGGATTTTGTCAGGCAGTTCTCTGACAGAGGTGACATAGAGCGTGAAGACTGGATAGTATGGTGTGGAGGACTAGGACAATGAGAGTATTTCGTGTCTTGTAGGCTATCTTGCTATCTCAGTGCATTTCTGCTGATACCTAGTGAAATTTCTGAGGCTTTCTGTTAGGCAGCATGAGCCCTCTGAACTGCCTTTCTCTATTATGCCTTAGAACAGCGGTTCCCAAAATATGGACTAAGGATATATACAAGTCATGAAGCCACTGTGGTATAGAAAGGAGGTGTTTTAATTTTTGAATTGAGACTCTAATATTATACTGCAGTTAATTTTATCATACCTGCCATTCTGTGGTCTCTGTTTTGTGATCATCCATGGATAAAACTTTGGGAACTCTGCTTTAGAGCCTACATCCCAAATGTCTGTTCTGTGCTGCTTATATGGGAAGTGGAGCTGGCTTAGGACTTGAGCTGTTTCTCATTTGAAGGAGAACAGAGAAGTAGTAGAGGGAACAGGAAGATTACTGGTGCCAGGCTTTCTGTGCACAAAGCTTGCAGAGCCTGGGTAGTTCTAACAAAACAAAGGAGGTAGCCACCTGTGAGGAGAGTGTTTCATGCCTATCCTTATACTTGAAAGGTCAAAAGAGCTTTTAAGATCAGGTAGGTGATACTGAGAGCTGAGCTGAAGCTTGTCTGATAACATGGAGTGCAGGGTGACCTTGAATTCATCTGGAACTCTTAATACTGTTAATTGCTCCACTGTCATGCAGCTGCAGTAGTAAAGAGCTGGCCCTATCAAAACAGCCTTTCAGATGGCTCCTAGTGGGGCTGCCAAGCAGCTCAAAAGGGCTGGAGTTTACTTACAGGATGCTGGATTCTTCTGTCTCCCTTAGCCCATCAGGTGCCTTACAGGGACTTGCTGCTTTCTGTTGTGTTCAGGGGAATGCTGATATAGTGCACCTGTTTTTTTGAGGGATGCGGGGATTTTATCCTCTTGCATCCTTCCTAAAATTGTGGTAATGGCAAAGATGATCATGAAAAAAAACTCCACATTTGAGTTTTGCATCCCTTACCTAATGAATTTTAAGTGCAGAATATGCCCGGAGGAAGAGGAATCTCCTCATAATCTGGAGCGTTCATGTCTTGCATCGTATGCAGACATGTGAACTCCTGTGTTCTGTCAGCTATTGTGCCTTGCTTTATTCCCCAGCTGATAATAGTCACAGTAATTTCATAGGTGGATTTACTATCAGACATGTTTTCTGTATCTAACTGTATTTTGAAGGGAATAATTTTCTATTTAATTATAGGATGGATCTTTCTCTCCAGTTAGTTTCCCAGAATGAGGTGTCCCCAAACCCCAAATTTTAGAATTGCATTCTTTTTAAAAAGCTGCTGAGGGCAAGCTTGTTGCTTTAAAGGAACCATCCCTCCTTTAACTTTACGATGTAGGCAGTCCTAATATAGAAGTTTAAAAATGAATATAAAAATAGAAGTGCAACACTTGGAAAGTTAGAGGAAAAAAAAAAATCTTCCCTCCTGGGTACTGAATAGGTATTTAAAAACTTTCCATATTTCCAGAAGTAGAGGTGTGAGCTTTGCTTTCCACTGAAGAGTGATTTCTGTGGTGGGAGGCTGATATATGGTAACTTCTACTTCAGAAACCTCTGTTGAACTAAGTGTTTTACTCTGAATCTTGCCTGTGGAACCTTCATTTAATGAAATGGTTTGATTAATGCAAGCATTGTGTACTCTTGCCCTGGTTAGAGATGCCTTGGCACGCCTTTAGGTCAAAGTAGTAATTTCTAGGCACATGAACTATTTCTAATAGGAATGAGAGTGCCAGAGGGGAGAAGGGTGAGGGAAACTTGTGTTTAATCTCCAAACATAGACTGTTAGTGACTTTATACTATCTTAGAGGTGGCATAGGCGATGTATGGGCACTGATGCTGGAGTTTGGCACCTCCTAGGCACTGATGGAGTCATCTCTGTGAGGAGGGAGGAATTGTGATCATTTGCTTGGTTCTTCTGGTGGTTGCCTGACCATAGTTGGCATATAAAAAGAAAGAGGCTGTGAAAAGTATTGCTTCATGATCCAGGTGAATCTCCTTGGTAGTACTTGAGAGCCAAGAAGTATAGGAGTCAGGAAGGGATATATATTCAACAGAGAAAAGGTAAGGTTGACTCCTTTGGGGCACGTCTGAAGGAGAGTCCATTTCTGAATACTCCCTGGTCTTACTACAGCTGGGTTTGAATCGTCCAGAAGACAAGTTCTGGGTAGGCCAAGGTGACTGTGTCAGATCCTTCTCATTAGGCAGTCCTCTTAGAAACTTCTCCAGGAAACAGATGTAGAGGTGACTTCCTAGGAGGAAGGTTTAAGATTGACAGGAACTGAAGGACCTAAAGTGCACATAACCCATAGGTCCATGCTTTTCAAGCATGAGGAAGAGGAATATGGTTTCTATGCCACATAGCCTAAATCTCCAGCCTCACATCCTAACGGTGCAATGCAGATCCGTAGTGTGCACCTGCGTATGCACAAACCATCTCTGGGAAACCCAGAGGCTATTGGAGTAGAGCTAAATCTGGAAACAGAAATTGTTTCTGCAGTTGGGTGGTGTTTTTAATCCTAACGTAAAATGGCTAGAGGCAAGGTACACTTGGTCCGCTGTGGGTTGTACAGCCACATGGTAAATGAGAACAGCAGAGCTGGAGCAAAGACGAGCTAGCACAGTATCCTGTCCCTGGCAGGAGGCAACAGCGCGCCTTAAAGGAAGAGTGTAAAAATGGAACAAAGCATCTGTTGATACTTCCCTGTCATTCTCTTCTGCTTTGGGACTTCCTGAACTAGAGGCCACATGTTGTCTAATTCCTCATTTTTGGAATTTTCTCCCCCCTTACCTAAGTTACTTCTAAACATGTGAAACCTTTAGGAATCTACAGCGTCCTGTGGCTGCATGTTCTGGAGTTTAAGCACAAGTGTCACAGTAAATGATGTTTGCTTCTGATACGTATGTACTCTTCAGGGCCAGAAATTAAATTACAAAAACATGTATAGATTTTGGTGTAGTGAGTTTCTGTTAGGTGCAAAACATGATGAAATTCATACTAATACTTAGTTTTGGTTTTGTGTTTTTTTTCCCCCTCCCATCAAGGGTGCCAAATGCCTGATACTTTGAATTCATGGTTTCTAGTAGCCCAGCTTCACGTCTGGTAAGTGAAAAGTAAAATAGTAATGTAACTATTTTCAGGAAGTAGTGATATGTACCTTAATGTGAGGGAGAAGTGTGGTTACTGATAATAGTGGTTATATTCAATGTACTAATAACTGAATTTTAGCAATTTTCTACTCAAGAACAAAAAGTGCTGTAGAGAAGCTAATATCTTTTACATCTCTTAGTTCCTCAGTAGTGGAATGGTCTTTGCCATGAGTTTTCTAAAAGCCTTGCTCAGCCTATGTGGAAAAATATTACTTGGGTGTTTTAGGAAAAGTTTAAATTTATGTAAAAGTGTTTTAAATTAGGAGAATTTGTGGTGGTTGAGGTTGCTGCTCGTCAGAAACATTTAACAAATTATAGCATTGGCATTTACTCTTGCGCCTCTGAAACATACGTGCAGGTTGGTGAATGCCAGCTTGGCTCTATGTAAAAATATTTAACACCTTAAACATTAAGTTTTTTCCTTTTTTTCATTTGTGAAAATAGTAGCCAAAAAAAATCAGGTTTTCATCTAGCATTACATACTTGTAAAGGTCAGAGGGATGCACAAGGGGGTACAGTAAGTTTTGTTAAGTGCCAGATCTTTCAGGAAACTGAGGTCTATAGACTTAGGTTTAGCTATCCAAGAGCTGAAGGGAAGTTTGTACTGAAATAGTTGCACTTAAGCATAGGCCCCTGATTTCCTTGCCTCCTTTTTTTCCCTTTCCCTCCTTTTAATTTCCTGTTTCCTCAATATATTGAAAGATGGGGCGGCTCATTTCACTAAAGAATGAATAAATTAGCAGAACCATTGAAATTATAATGTGTTAATGAAATCAGTGGAATCAAGTAAGGAAGACCCTTGAGATTTGCAGTTTGTTTATTTCTTGCTGTTCCCTGTGGAAAAAAAGCTTTAAAAAATGGGTAAGCTAATAATTCATATCAATATTTGGAAAACTACTGCAATAAATATTCAAACCCAAAGTGTTTGTCCATATCTGGGGAAGAACAAAGAACTGCAAAGAACACACTTTTTTCACATCATCTTGATTTCGCATTGACAGGACGATGTACCCTGTGATACACAGCATTGAATTCAAGATACATAATCTTCTTTCATGACAGGCATAAAAATAATCAAGGGGACTATGATAGAGATGAAGCTAGTGTGGGATAGACACAAAAATTCTAAGATCAAAGCTCCACTGGAGAAGGCCAAGAGTTGCCACACTTTGAGCCGGTGATGTTAAGGAGACTTTTAATGAGGGAAATGGAAGTACTCGTACGTTTAAGATACGGTGGACAGCTTGACAGCAACGTACTACACAAGCAGGAAGGAACCACAGCCCTCTACTTCATGTGACAGCAATGAACATTTGAGTGCAGAGGCGAGCACTAAAGGTTAATTTCTCCAGGTTTTATGTGCCTGGCTCCTCCATGTTCCTGGCAGCTTGACCTAAGGAGCGCTGTCATTCTGGACCACAAATAAGAGATCCAGTTTGATATTCCAGGATAGAGAAGCCTGCGATAGGTCTGCTCACTACCTGGGTTGTTGGGAAATGCTGCAGGCTTTGCTTGTGATTAGCTCAGTGACCAGGACCCTGCCATGACATAATTTTGCTTTCACAGTTAGGTTTAGTGCTACGTTCTCTGTGATTCTTTCTTTAATGAGTTTGACCTCAGTGAAATGGGAGCAGAACATTATTGATTCTGCTAGCTCAGGCAAGGTCAAGGACATCCTACCCCTGTCTGAAGGCTCCAAGACTTATGTCTTTCCTGTTGGACCTTTTGCCTCAGGGGCTAGAAACCTTGTTGATCTGGTGGCCAACAACCTGACCATGTAGATTCTGATCACCATCTATTGAAGTGTTCCTGTTCCCCCTTGTAGTGCGGTCTAGATCACTTTCTGGTGTACGTAATTCTTCCCTCTTCTTTAGAGTTTTAGTTTAAACCGATTTAGAGTGTCTCCTGGAGCTGGAGAAGATGAGAATTTTTCCTAGTTTGGTGAACTCCAGCTCCTTTCTTGCTGTTGTCACTGCCTATCACATTCTAGTCAACTGTTTCTGTGCTTTTTGTGTCCCACCCTTTATAGACTGAGGCTGCTTGTCAGAGCATACATTCTTGTGTCACAGGTTCTAGCGGGGCCTTTGTTTGCATCTCTGGCTCTTATTTCTTCTTCTTTGTGAACAGAGTTTTCCTACTTGCCTCCAGTCAGAAAGGGGGGAAATTCAGGCTCTTGTATTTAACCTCTGCTTTTGCTAACTTCTTTCAAGGTAGTGGTCCTTTAGATACGCTCCGGTGCCTCCCAATGCAATGCTAAAATTATACTTTAGAAAATCAGCCTAACAGTATTCTTTCCTGTCATGTTTTTATAGGCTGCTTCTGTTACTTCACACTTTTGATGTCAGGAGGACTCTTTCTTTATGTTTAGAAGTCCACACCTTTTAGAAAATCTCACACTGTTCATCTCCACTGCTGGGTTTGCCTTTTCCCATGCAGCAGCAGTCTAAATGTGCCCAGAGCTGTAGTGAAACTGCCAAAGGGGTTACTGTACGAAGAACTGTCTTGGTGCAGGATGTATCATGTGGATAACTAGACCTCCCTTCATATTTTCACCGCACCAAGTATGGTGACATCTCTGAGATATTTAAGATCAAAATAGAATGGTGCTACAGTTCCTGTTCTGAAAGACTCAAAGATCTGTTGCAGGAATTCATCTGAGCATTGCTTTTCAGAAGGAAATCTGCACTTGGGAAAGTGCTGATCAGTCTGAGGGAGTCCAGAGGGGAATAAGAACCACCAAGTACATAGAAAACAGTTTCTGCAGAAAAAGATTTCTCAGATTTGCACAGGGAAGACGGAGGACACCACACCATTTTGAAAAGTGCTGCTTCAGAAAAAGGGAATAAACTGTCTGTTTTGTGATAGAGAGGGCAGGGAGAAAGGGAGTTAAATTACATCAGAGGAGTCTTGCTGAGAGAGATTTTAAGAACAATTTTATGTGGAATGTCTTGGGCATTTAGTTGATCTTGCCTTAACATGAGGGAATGGGTTACATGGCCTAAGCATGGGCACCAGGGGAGGGGAAGACTGCAGACCAGGCTCGGTTCAGTTAGTTTGTGCCCCATCAAAGACCCATGCATGGCTGTAAATACCGCAGTTGGTGAACTTGCTAGGCTGAGGCACTGGATAACACTCAGACCTAATTAGGAAGAGTTCAGAATTCTGCTCGTTAACATTATTCATAGAACTGAATGTCACAACATATTGCTGATGACAGAGTCGATTCAGGAGCTTCCTTGTCCCATCCCCCAACTTGCTGGCCATTCGTGAATGTGTTAAACAGAATAAAGCCTCCCAAAATTGCTGTTGATATTTGTGTTGTTAAGCCAGAGTGATTTCTCTGAACAAGTATAACATAGCCCCAGAAACAGTTGCTCTGGAGCAGCTGAGGAAGCA